TCTGTCTTTTACATCACAGTACTGCCATGGCTGTGAACACTTAGCATATAGCCCATTCAGTATTTGTTAAAAGAATAAATGAATGTGATCACAGTTTTGAGTATTTCAGACAGACAACTAGGTAGCTCCCTTTGAACACACGTGTCCTTGGATAAAGATCACACCACCTTCAAATGGTGTCTGGTTCATACACAGCATCCTTCAATGAGAAGGCTCTGACAGCGTACCTGTAAAGCAATGGCTAATCGAATGAGATCAATAACCACTTCCTCATTGGCCAGTTCAATAGTTATAAGAGCAAGGGACGTATACAATAGCTCGTAGTTTTTCTGAACGTTGTCTTCCTCTTTACAGCCCAAATATATGTGCCGGTACAACTGCTGCCCATTCTGAAAAGGGAAATGACAGAGAAAAAAAAAAACATTTTGCTGAAAATGGCTTAAGAGCAGACTCCAAAGACATATACCCTCCCACCAAGTCGGTATCTAACGTGGAGGTCAAACTCAAGTGACTGACCAGATGGTCAAACTGTAGCCAATAATCACAAGAAACATACTAATATACAGCTATCAATTAATATGAGAGATGAAAAACAAACCTTAAATAAAAACAGCAAGTAAGAAGCAGTTCTTATAAGTAAAACCTGCAGAAGTCAGAATCTGCGTAAGGTGGATACCTGTCAGAAGGAAACGCCAAGATTTTCCACTAAAACGAGGGATAGAAAAGTGCCGCGACTGCACCCTATCAAAGGTGGAAAACCCGTGAGACCTGGAAAATCAAGGGCGTCCGCCCAGTTCCAGCACTCACAGACTTCATTGCAACTGGAAAAACAAAAGCAAATTACAGACCATCTCAGCAACGGCGAGATGACGGCACAGCAAGATCGTTCGGCAGCCTGGACTGAGTCGGGAACTTAACCTTCATTTCCACCCACGTTCTAATAAGGCTACGTGTAATCAGGCCACTGCCTCAGTGTTCTCGTCCGTTGGGAATGGTCTCCACTGAGGCGGGTGAGGACCATCTGCAGGGTCTGCTACACTCTGGCCCTGGAGCTCCCAAAGGCAAGGCCAGAGCCTACACAGAGGGGACACCCCAGGACTGCACAGGTTTTCCCTAAACCAGAGCAATCTAGGTGTGTCAGTCAAGGACACAACGGCTTCCTCTACCTGAACCATTCCTGGGTCCACCACCAAGCAAGAGACAACAGAAACAAAAGGGTGCTCCCCAAGCCACACCACCGCGTAGTAACCTGAAGCACTAGTGCCCAACCCTTGCTGTGAACCAGGGTCACAGGGAAACTGGAGCAAGCACGCTCCCGCCCACCCCACCTCCACCTCTGCTGCCACGGGATGCTCCCCGCTGCCAACCAACGTTACTGGCTGCTGGTGGAGCCCAAGCGCCTGTGCTTCTGAAGCATAAAGCTCTCGAAGTGACCCCGATGTCTGGGATATGCCAGGGTGAAGCCCACCAACTGGGGGGGAGCGCTAGCTTTCACGTGAAGAGACTTCAGCTTAATGAAGCTCCTGGCCCCTTTCTCAGCAGGTTCATGTGACTGATCAGTGACTGAGTGACAACAGCTCAGACTCCTCTGAAGGCAGCCTGTTTGTGGAAAACACACGTTCTGGTCCTTTCTCTAACATGCAAGAGGGTGCCTCCTGTAAGGGAGGCTGCAGCTAGTTGTGCCAGGGGTGGGATGGTTAGGTTGGTTTCAATCTACACTATGGTGTTGGCAAGGCTTCCAGGCTCCAAATATAGAGCTGTGCTCTCCCTTCTGATTCTTTTATTTCTGAGGTTGGTAGATCGGCTTCCAAGGAGCCCTGGTGGTGTGGTGGTTAAAGCATTCAGCTGCTAACCAAAAGGCACCAGTTCAAACCTACCAATTGTTCTGTGGGGGAAAAGTGAGACCATCTGCTTCTATAATGATTTACAGCCTTGGAAACCCCATAGGGCAGTTCTACTCTGTCCTGTAGGAGCTCTGATAGCATAGTGCCTAAGGCACTTGACTGCTAACCAGAAGGCGGCAGTTCAAATCCACCAGTCACTCCTCGGAAGGAAGGTTGGGCAATCTACTTCCATAGTGATACTGCCTTGGCAGCCCAAGGAGGGGTCGCTATGAGTCGGGGCCGACTTGATGGCACATAACAACAACAACAACTCTAGCCTGTAGGGACACTATTGAGTTACAATCGACTCAATGGCAGTGGTATGAGTTGGTTTCTATCTTTCTAGAAGCCAGAGTTGAACTGTCTCTCAAATGGTTCTATCCTTGTGGGAGAGAACAGTCTCAAAAAGTGAGCTCCTGCATCCCGTGATCCGTAAACAGCTTCAACGAGCCCCAAAGCAGTGCTCACACGTGTGGGAGCAGAGGCTCCCTTCCTCAGGGTCCTCAAGATGTTCAAGTTTATTTAAAAAAATTGCCTACTACATACTCACATTAGATACAACTGAAACCTAACGACGTGTGCTTTAACAACGTAGTATAAACAGGCAGAGGAGCTCTGATAGCA